CCGCGTCTGAAACAGCCCGGCAGCGGCTGAATCAGGACGCCTGGGGCAGAGCAGCTGGGGTGCTGCCGGGTTGGTTCGGAGTGGCGCTGCGGGACCAACCCGGCAGCCCCCAGCTGCTCTACCCCAGGGGTAGGCAAGAAAAGCCTGGTCTGCTGGGGGGGGCACTAGCTGCACCCCTCCCCCAGCAGACCAGGGATACGGGGGTGGCGGGACCGCCCAAGTCCTCCACGGCTTTGCTCCATCTCTCTGGTCTGCTGACCTGGGAGACGCGGAGCAAAGCCGCAGAGCACGCGGGCAGCGGGACAGTCCAGGCGCGCCACGCTGTCCCACTGCTGGCGTGCTCCGAGGCTTTGCTCCCCATCTCCCTGGTCTGCTGGAGAGGACAGGACAGCCCAGGCGCGCCTGGGCTGCCCCGGAGCCCCAGCCCCTCCGTGGCTTTGCAAAGCTGCGGGGGAAGCCGGCGGCGGGACAGCCCAGGCGTGCCTGGGCTGCCCGGCTGCCTGAGCCCCTCCGCGGCTTTGCTCTGCGTCTTCCTGGTCTGCAGACCAGGGAGACGCAGAGAAAGCCCCAGAGTACACGGGCGGCAGGACCGCGAGGTCCCGCAGTCCGTGTACCCTGGGGCAGCCCCGTTCGTAACTGCGGATCCGACGTAAGTCAGATCCGCGTAAGTCGGGGACTGCCTGTATGTACTATTATGTCAGACCTTTAAAGAACAATACTAGAAAGGAAATGAAAGTTTTCAAACTTCTGATAGGATAAAAAATAATCCTAAAACACACTTCATAAAATCACATTTCAATTAATGTTAGGGATGTGAGTTTAGGCGGGTGTTGCTAACTGGTTAACTGTCAGCTTGGCGGAGCTGGAGTAGTCCTTTCCCCTGATTTAAGTAGAGGGCTGTTCCAGCCGGCTGGGTCCCCTATGCACAGTGGTACTCCAATTCAGCCAGAGCATCTCCCTGCCTGCAGCACCATGGACCCAGCCAGAGCAGTATTGTAGTGGGAGTGGGAAGGCCTGCTCTATCTGGCCGGGCCGTGGCATGGTGGGCCTGACACGGCCCCCATCTGCAGCGCAGTGAGCCTGACCGGACAAAAGTGGCCCTTAACCCATGTGGGGGGCTGCTCCAGTCTGGCCAGACCGCCAGTTAACCTTTACCAGTAAGCCCTGTAAGGCCACTCTAGCCCTGGTTATGTGGTTAACCGGTTAACTGTGATTTTACATCCTTAATTAGTGATATTATTTCCTTGTAATTGATCATCACATTTGCTGTATTAAGAGTTGACTTGTTAAACTGTCAAATCTTAAGAAATGAGAAACTAATGAAAACTTTCTTTACATTGTGTCTTCTGGTGCAAATTTTGGGTGCTCATCGTATATGGTAAAATATTGGTAAATAGTGAAATAAGTGATGTAATGTTTCTTTGTAGGTATTCATGACACACTGTTGATTAATTCAAAACTTGCCAGCAAAAAGGTCACAAGTTTAGAGACAGTTAGGATACCAAGGAGTAACAGTAAGTGCATCTTTTTCATTAACATTTGGTGTTTTAGGGCCTAATAGTACCGTGATTTAGAACTCTGACTGGTATACAGACATTAGCTCTCTGATGAGGGCTTGCAAGAGATTGAACCTTTGGTATCACATTTCAAAGTAGTGTAGAATAGACTTGTAATATTGAAACTACTTTTTCTAATGTCATTTTTAAAGAATACTGTCAAAATCATTAAACCATTTATCTATTCTGTGAGCTCACTGAATAGCTTCCGAGAATGTATTTTTCCACAGATGATCCATGTGCTTTGTCTCCTAATCCAGGGGTGGGGAAACTTTTTTTTGGATTGTGGGCCACTGACCCACAGAAAAATCAGTGGAGGGCCGCACACACAAAACCCTCACTGATGTGGCACCTGACTGAGGAGAAAGACACTCCCTCAATTCCACTTGCACACCAGAGCCTGGTGGGACCCAGCCTACTAGATTTTGTATGCTCTGGCACAGTGGTGGAGTAGCGGGGGGCTGTGAGCCTCAGGAGCTGAAATCAGGCAAGCTGGGGACTGCATCCAGCCCCCGGGCCTGAGGTTCCCCACCGCTGCCCTATCAAAAACACAGACTTAACTGGCATTGTTGTCTGACTGTGGTATAAACTGACATCTTTTCACAGAAGACACATTTTTAGAGATCTGCCTTGGATTGCATTTCCTTAGTGTGCAAAAGTCTTTTATTTCTCTCATAATAATTCTAATTGTGATATTTAAAACGAATTTGCTAGAGTAAACTATTGGATACTAGTATATCTTTACAAATAATTCCTTTTTAATCTTCTGAATTATTTTAGACTTGTAATTAAGGTGCTAAAGGGAGTAATAAAGAGTTCATTCTTTGACAGAACTCTTTTGGGGAGAGTTGGTATAGCATAAAGTTGTTTGTAAGGAACTTCACAGGAGTTAAATCCAAATAATGCAGCCTTACTACACAGAGAAATGTAGTTTCAGTGAAAAATGAAAGCTAGAAGCTAGATCATCTCTTCTAATGCAAAGAAGGGTGAAAACTATTTGAAGAAAATGTGGAAATATAATAAATTAATCTGTGAGTGAAAGGGTTGCCTCATCCCCCATGGAGGGGACAAGGCCATGAAATAGCAAAGGTGTCCTAATATTAGTGGGATATCCCATGGAGCTTGGAGACATCCCTGCAAAAGGAAAGCTCCTCTATGCTGTAACCTACACAGCATATCCAACTAGGCTGCCATCTTCTCGGCAGCATAACACACTTGGTAGAAAGCTGCTTCTGAGGTTGCTTTCTTATATCAGCAGCACAGCTTTCTTGGCAATTGTGCTATCACTGACCCTCCCATCTTCTCTTGGACCTCCCCCCTTCTGCTCCAAGAGGGGAACTAATATTAACCTGGAACAGTCCTGAGTTTTTCATTGTTGGTGTCCGTTTAAAACAATGTAACGGAAGTGTCTGTTTTGTACTTGCCGTATTTTAGTTATTTCAAAAAGATCAAATAAAAGCCATGCCATGACTCCTTAGTGAACCATATGGACTGATGCACCAGATCCATGATGAAAGTTGAGCAGTCTGATCAGTAAAGTGCAACTTTTTCCCCCAAATGAACAGTTTAAATATTGTAGACAACTTGACCATTCAGAATAGTTACATTCTGTGTTAATGAGATATTCATGCCTTTGTACTGCAAAATCTAAATATGCATATATTTGATAATCTCACTATTTCTACCTTAGTTTTGGACAGAGTTCAGAGTTTTTTACCACAGATGGCCCTTGCAAACAGTGAGCTAAGAAGAGAAATGGCAACAGCACCTGCTCATCAATTTGATATTGAAAATCTAGACAACTGCCTTGAAAATATTATAGAGATGGTAAATGTATTTCTAGTATTCCTTTTGTACATTTATTGCTCTGGTATAAAATTCTTGACTCCAGTCTTTGAATGGATTTATTTGAAAAGTAAAGCTCTTAATTTCTTTTACATTCCTTTATAATTTTGATCTGAAACGATCCGTAAATTTAAAGCCAAGTATTCTACTTGCTTGTCCTGACATAGTAATTTTGTCCACCACTGAAACTTGAAGGTAAATTGCAGAAGGTAAAGTAGTTTAAGCCCAGAATATGAGCTGCCTCAAGTTCTAATTCTGGTAATGAGTGTAACTTTTGTGATGGCAAATAGTAATTTAAATTAATTTAAAGCAAAAATATTTTAATAAATAATTGATTGTACAGTAAAAATAATCTGTGTTCAAGGGCCACTTTAAAGTATATTAAGGCCAAAAATCTAGATATTAGGTATGCTAAGTAAAACAAAACTTTGTATTTATTTAAAAATTCCACTCCAGTATTTTAAAAGAAATACTCCAGCAGTATGCTTAAGTCTGAGAACCCCAAAGAAAAACTGATTATATGCAAAAAAACCCACAAAAATAGCTTAGTAAAATTGCACTTAGTAAAATGTCTTCCTATTTCTATTACTGTAATCTTCAGTTATCTGTATCTTTCTGTATAATGTTTTAATATCAACAAATAGAAAATCCAAGTCAGCGCTTCTTGCAAGTAATTCAATAAATTAACAATTAAGTGTTTTTATGACTGATCTCACTATGCTGGTTGTATATTTTTGTTTTTTTCTTGGCATGGGCTGGGGACTGGATCTCAGACAACACTTTTGGTCAGGTGCAAATGTTTTGTACTTGTCATTGTATACAGCTTCACGTCTTGAAATAACAGGTTATTTTCTTTAGAAAATATTTTGATTGTCTTAAACACTTATTTACAGTAACAGTTGTACCACTGACATTAAACTATTATGTTACCTGAATTACATTAACAATATATACGAGACAACTCCCTGCAAATTGTATTTTCAGATTTGAATTCTTGTCTGAAAACTCAGAAGCCCTAATTTTAGACAAAGTAAATTTATCAATGTACTGTTGTGGTGTTTTGCTTTCCCATTAATTATTTAAAAAGAACTATTACTGTTATTGGGTACTACTGGTACTTGGAATGTATAAACTAATTTTTAATATTTAAACTTTCATGTTGGTTATAGAGATTCCTTAACTCAGATATTTTCAGTCTACCAAAGTACTCATTTTTGTGCATAGCACATAATTGCTGACTTTATGGAAAGAATGTTTGTGGGTATTAAAGTCGTGTGTGTAGTGTTTTGTATTTTCTAGAAAAATCATAAAAACAACATATATATATATATATATATATATATATACAGCTTTATTTTTAAAGAACTCTTGTTTCTTGCAGAATGTGGCTTTGGTTGAGTTAAGTGGCTCTGACACAGAGGATGAAGAAGAAATAATTTCAGAAGACAGCTCAGAATCTGAAGAGGACAACTGTGCAATTGATGAAGTTACCATAGACACCATCAAGTTTCCTAAACAAAAAGGAGAAAAGGGCAAAATAGAAATTTTGGACAATAAAGTACCTGAGTAGATAGAACTATTTTCAGATTTCAGTTTTTAAATGTATTGTGCATTTTGATTACTTTGAAGGTTTGACCTTTAGAAAACCAGCTAATTTACAAGTATGTGTCACCAGGAAACTGGCTAACTCCTACTGACTTATGTCACTGGGAGTACTGTGTTTTGGAGGATAGAGAGTTTCTTACGGCTGGAAGGAAAGCTCGAGCACTTAGAAATAAGTCCTGATCTATCCCCCAGGCTGTATAGAAATGAGTTACATTAGGTAGTCAGAATGGGGAAGAAACAACAATTTGAGAGGCTACACTGTAAAGCTAAGCAAGAATGTGAAGTTCTTGGCCTGTTGTAAAGTAAAGGCTTACTAGGGTGTGGAGTATGTACTTCTGGAGAGGGAAATAAGTAGACAGGAGGAAGACAAAGCTTGTTTTTTGAGATACTGTACTATTTATATACTTATCTTCACTAGTAAATACTACAGATGAGCAGACTTAGTGCTTCAAGAGTTAAATCTAAGGAAATATGCCTAATTATGCCTTGATAATTTGATAGGTTGCAATTTAGACTATTACTGTATTTAGTCATGTTTTGCTTTTCAGATGTATCTGAATGGCTTTGTATACTATAACTTGTTTCTCAAAGAAACAGTATTTTGTATAATTTAAGGTTATATTACTGTATTTACTCAGCTAGTGACGATTAAGTATTAAATTGCCAGAGCTTGCCAAACCGCGGAGAGCCCCGCTCGCCAGCCGCGCTGTCCGGCGATCTGCGCATGCGCAGATCACCCGAACCTGGCTCTTCCAGGTTGCAATCTACTCGCCATGGGCGAGTAGATTGAAATTTGCAGGGCTCGACAAATAATGCGATCGGTCACAGGATTTAAAACATTTTATTCTGCGTTAACTTGGAACATAACTGTTTGGAACATTTGATCAAGGTAATAGTAACATTTTCCATCTTTGTTGAAGATAATTATCCTTTCTCTTTATTAAAAGGAAAAATAAATTGTACTGGTTTCAGTTGCTATTGTGATTCAATTTATGGGTTATTTTAAGTAAATTATTAATCCAAAACAGGTTATTTGACTCATGTTGCTAGTAATCTTTCTGAAAAGCATCACCACTTGATGTAGGCTGTACAAAGACACAGTACAGAGGTAATTAGTTTCTACTTACCAGTCCTGGTGCATTAGAATTAAACAGTTCAGTCAGTTTTAAATCTGCTGGGAAACTGGCCTTTACTGGCCATACATCACTTTAACATTGCTTCCTACTAGAAGGAAATATAGATACGTCAGTTTTACTCATCCTAACTATTTAATGACCCATTTCTATATAAATTATTCCTCCTGTCTATTGTATGAAAGTATTTCTTAAATATCTGTCAGTTGACAAAATCCAAAGTAGTTGGAGAACTGTTATGGTAGTCTGTTGAAGGTGTAATAATTCTATAGTAAATTAAACACTTGAAAGTACCTTTATTTGGATAGACTGGATACTGTTCTTATGCTAAAGTGTGCAGTGGCATCTTGAGAAGACTAACTTAACTCAGTTGAACTTGAAATATACTTGTGTCCATGTGTAAAGTGAAGGAGTTATGCAGGGATTTAATGGTACATTGCACAATGTGGATATCTTGTTTAAGCAATGTTTATGAAGTGTGACATAATGTGTGCAAACTGTGTCCATAACTAAATATTTAACTTTATTAACCATGTAGGTAAATTGATGATAAAAACTGCTTTGTGGCTAGATGAATTTTAGTAGAAAAACATTCCATATGAACAGGTCTCACAATAGGATAGTAAAGTAGAAAAACAATTACACAGAACAAAGACGGCGAGGAGTCCTGTGGCACCTTATAGACTAACACTATAAGGTGCCACAGGACTCCTCACCGCTCTTGCAGATTCAGACTAACACAGCTACCCCTCTGATGTAGAACAAAGAGAATTTTGCTTTTTTGGTACCAGCAAAAGATATAGGGGAGGGAAAAAGTTAAACTGAAAAAAAATTGTTCATTTTCAACAATTTGGCTTTTTTCTTGCCCAAATAAGTTTTTCAATCAGTTCTAATTGACACTTTGAAATAGTTTTAGACTTTAAATATTATCCTTTAAAGAAGTCAGTGGTAAGCATAATTCCTGGTAAAGTGCATGGCTGCTCACAAAAAAAATCTTCCCCCTCCCAGCTTCTCTGGCAGGTGAGGCTGGCTGAGATGGTGTGGTAAGGGAATCTCTGGGGGAGGGGAAGGAGGAGGGGAGGCCATGTGGCAGGGAGCTGGGATCTGCTGTGGTGGGAGGCCAGGGCCTGTTCTGAGGGCAGGAAAGGGAGGTGTGGTGAGGGGGCAGGACTTGTTCTGGGGGGCGGAACAGGACTTGCTGCATGGCGGGCAAGGGTGGGGTCTGCTCCTGTGGCCAGGAACGGGACATACCGCATGGGACTGGTGTCTGCTCCAGCAACTGGGAACGTGTGTGTTAATCAATGGTGCCACAGTGGTACCCATCTGAACAAGAGCACATGACCTCAATATTGGTACACAAGACAAAACCCACTCCACTCATGGTTGGAAAATCTTAGTGGGAAAAATGGCAGTAACTATTTGCTAAATTCACATACAGCTTTGATATGAATACTAGTTTTTGGGAAATTACTGTTCATTGGAAAAAACAAACTTCATCAGGCTATAGTATCTTTTTTCAAAAGGTGCACACATTTGGCACACGGTTCTGCTGGTTTCACTGATTTAAAAATTCAGTGTAAGATTCTGCAGCTTTGTGGTACAGTAGCATCTCAATGTTTCTCAGTACAGAATGTGAAAAGTTACGTTAATTATCTTGAAAAGACAGTCACCATTATGTAGGATCTCTTATATTTAGAACTTGACAATTAAATAGTTAATATCTGAATTTATAGCACAGTAAATGCCTAATGCCATAACCTTACCTGACATTCTCCCTGTGGTAAAGTGCATGTAATGTGAAGTAATCATGCAACATACAATAGTGATAGCAGGACATACACAGCCACAGCTGGTTTCATCTTTTAATATAACTATCATTCACAATCCCATAGAGATTGCACATTCCATATTCACAAAAAGAGAAAATATTTTCAGTAACTTCAGCTTCATATGCATAGTTTGACAAATGTTGAGCTTTGTATAGACTACAAAGATCATATTAAGTGCACTTTCTTGAATTTTATTTACAATGTTTTATGGCACTAAGGTCTCCTATACTGCTGAAAAGTCATCAGCTGTATACATCCATTGAAAAACTTGAACTGTTTTATAACAAAACTATGCCCACTTGAAAGTACAGTTTTAAGAGAAGCTTAATGACTAAAAGGTTTAAAATGATCATGTAAAATACATCTCATTAATACAAAATGTAGGCACATCATGGGGGCCCATTCCTTCAGTCTTATGTAAGCAAACTCCCATTGCATGAAGATTTAGATATATGGGTGTTTCGATAAGACCAAATCCTAGTTCCACTAAAGTAAGTAGCCAAACTCCTTGAGACAATGGGGCTAGAATTTGGTCCTTACAATTTTCCATGGGTAAATACTATTTGCTTTTTGTTAGTGGTACTACTTCAGACAGTATATCCTGGGTATTAAGTGCTTAACAGAGTACTTAAAATTGAGGCTGTCAGTATGAGGTTTGCTTTGATAGGCTGAGCTGTTTCCTTAATACTCCACAGTTACAGCTTTAGTTCTGAGGTATTCATGAAGAGCTTCTTCACCTATGGAAGATCAAAATGTGAAGCAGTTATATCACCAGTTTAAAGAAATAAGAGCTTATGAATTTTGTATTTGTATATTCCAACAGCTTGTGGGCAAGGAATTAATGGAGTATATTTTAAATTCCCAGCTTTTATCCCATTCACTCTATTGAAGTAAATTAAACTTTTTTGAAGTTAAAAAAATCACTTTAGCAATAATACAATATATCATAAGCTGACTGCTGTCCATTATAGCACCAAAATACTATCTTATCCATTTCAGAAGTTTCCCTGGAGAGCTTTTCCTTTTACATATTCCTCCCCAAGACATTTTGGAGCTGCACTTTCCTAAGGTGCATTAAAATGGGATGACTTCCTGTGAATGTTCAGTATGTCAGAAGCAACCCTTCTTAACCACTTTGCAACTTAGTTTCCCAGAAGATAAGTCAAGACTCTTGTGTGCTTACCTCTGACTGAAATCTCACATTCTTGAGTTTTACCCAAAGGTGAATGTTTCTGGTAGGGATGTAAAATCCTGTTTAATTGGCCAACCAGTTAAACTGGTTCCTGCCCCACTAGTGCTTCTTACCGTAAAACCTCATCCCTAGTTTCTGGAAAGTTTGACCAAAATTGAACTAGCTAGCTTTAATGGAGAAATAATTGCTTTACAGAATGACATGAAAGAGTTCTAAGAAAACAACCTCTGTAATACAATTGTAAGGACGGATTATAGATATGTAACTTATCTGCAGGAGAGGGTCATTTCTTTTTTGCTCTGTAAGTACTTTCTATGAAAAACTTCATGGTGTATTCAATATAAACTTGACCTGCTATATTAATATCAACATCTTACTTAAACATAGCCATTAAATACTAAGTGAGATACTAAATAAACCAAAGTTGGACTTATAAATCTGTATGTAGTTAGGCATGTGTTTTTTGAATTGTTGAGCACTTAACCACTCCCAGTGAAGTATTTTTGAAAAGCTTCTATCTCCTTTAAAAGTCTAAAACGAGTCCTCCCAACATTGAGGAGCCTGTGCTGGTGCTCCTAGTGCTCCAAAATATTCTAGTCTGAGCCCCCTTAGGCTCTGATGTGCTAAAGGAATGTGGTGAGTGTCTTTCTGCTTCTTATGGGCCATGTCAATGAGGAGTGGCCCCAACCCAAAAAAGGTTCCCCTCTCCTGGTCTAAAAGCTCAAGAAGTTGAGACTAATTAGGTCTAGAAAGCAGAAAGCTACATGTTGTGTATGGAATAGTTTGGGAGAAATAGCCCCATAGTATGTTGCCAAAAGTCAGTCTCAAAACAGTGAAAATGTCAGTGAGAGGGTTATGTCAAAAAGTGTCATATGTGGGTTAGGAGTATGAATTAAAACAAGTAAATGGAAACATACTGATTCAAAGGAGACTAGTGTGTAAACATATAGCTTTATTACCTATAAGAGAGTAGGGATGTTAAATTGTGAATAATTGACTAATTGAATAGTCGATGCATTTTGCACTGACTATTCACTTAGTTGATAGGATGCCTCCACCTTTGAAGGTATGGCAACAGCCCCTAGGGCTATTGCTTCACTTCAAAGGCAAAAGCACTGCATGGAGCCCATGCAGCGCTGCTGCTTTGAAACATCACAGGGAACCCAGCATCAAGCTCATTGCAACATTTCAAAGCGGCAGCGCCCTGTGGAGCCCAGGATCAGCTGGGGACTCCCCTGCTGGCCCCAGGCTCCGTGTGGTGCTGCCACGTTGAAATGCCAATGTCAGTGTCAGTCTCCATGTGGCTTTTCAAAGCAGCAGCACCACACAGCCCGAGATCAGCAGGGGAGTCCCCAGCTGATTCCGGGCTCCATATGGTGCTGCCACTTTGAAATGCGGCATGCAGCCTGGGGCCACCCCAGCTGGTCCTGGGATGCACATGGTGTTTCAAAGTGACAGCGCCACATGGAGCCCGGGGTCTGGACCCAGGCTTCCCGTGGCAGTGCTGCTTTGACGTATCCCCTCCTCTTTCCCCCCCACTTTGCTTCCTTTTACTGATAGAGGCTGCAGGGGGAAGTGACTAGTCAACGAGCCTGTCGATGATCCAATAAGCTTCACATCCCTAGTAGAGAGGGATTTTTACTGAAAGCTATGCAAGCAGATGAATGGTCCTGAAGGTTAATGGAATCCAAAAGTAAGCTTCAGCACGGGCTCGTCTACATTGGCCCCTTTTCCGGAAGGGGCATGTTAATTTCACAAGTCGTAATAGGGAAATCCGCGGGGGATTTAAATATCCCCCGCGGCATTTAAATAAAAATGTCCGCCGCTTTTTTCCGGCTTTTAGAAAAGCCGGAAAAGAGCGTCTACACTGGCCCCGATCCTCCGGAAAAAGCGCCCTTTTCCGGAGGATCTTATTCCTACTTCAAAGTAGGAAAAAAGCGGCGGACATTTTTATTTAAATGCCGCGGGGGATATTTAAATCCCCCGCGGATTTCCCTATTACGACTTGTGAAATTAACATGCCCCTTCCGGAAAAGGGGCCAATGTAGACGTAGCCCACTAGTATGGGTCAGGTACAGAAAATTTAAGATCCTTGGATAACCGATTCTTAAGTCTTATTTCCTATCTAGTGATTTTTTTTAGTAATATTAATCCCAATATTTAGCTACCTTCTTAATCTTGTTATTGTGTGTCTAAGTTGCCAAATAAAATCTAGTTTGAAAATGTTAGGGCAGTTTCTAGCAGAGGACTGGAGGGAGACAGGATCCTGAGTGTATGTTCAGGTCTCAGAGACGACAGTCATCTTCCTTTAGTCACATCAAACAAGGACAAGTGAGAACCAAAAAACACTGACCAAAGAGAATTCCCTTGAAAGCTGTGATGCATTTGGAGTTGCCCAGTGATTACTCATTGCAGGAGGAATAACAGTAGTTTGAATTAAGAGTGTTAATTTGAACTATCTAGCCCGTGCCGCGTGTAGCCGCGGGCAGGTAGTTCGAGCTACCGGGCATTTAAAAATGGCAGCGCCCAAGAACATGCAAATGAATCCCGGGCTTCATTTGCAAGTTCGAATGACTACATTAGCCACCCTAGTTCAAACTAGGGTGGCTAGTGTAGCCATACCCTTAGTTCTTCTACTAACATAAACAATACTTTGGTTAAAGAAGGTTTTCTGATTACTTACTGTATGTCACCCATCACAGACTCCCAAAAGGAAGAATAGGTGTCCAAATTCAACTGAACTTGCTGGGTGAGCACAGTTTAAACAAAGGGAATACTGTTAGCCAGGGTTCAGTTGAAGAACAGGAGTACTGCATAACTCCACCCTGAGATAGGTAAAGGCATGAGGCCTGACACCTGAGAAGGTACAGTCAAACTAGTAAGGGAGCACAGATGCCATTAACCCTTTATCTGACAACAGTTGTTATGTCTTAATTTTTTCCTTGCTAATTTTTAAGAGTAAAACTTGATCAGGACTTTTATGGGCTTTTTTTTCTCCTCTGATACAAACTGGACAAGGCTATTTAAAAAAAAATGGTTTGAACCATCCATTTCATGTGGGGGGAAACACAAATTACTTACCTAAATCTTTTCCAAAGCCAGATTGTTTGAATCCACCAAATGGTGCTGCCACATCCGTTTTGTTATATGTGTTAATGAAAACTGTTCCTGCTTCTAGCTTTTCACTAACGTACAAAGCTTTGCTTAGGTCTTTTGTGAAAACTCCTGAAGCTAAGCCATATTCTGTGTTGTTTGCACGTTTTAACACTCCATCGACATCCCTATAATGATAATAATAATACAAAAAATATTTGGCTTCATTGCCAGTAAGTGAAACATATCAAAAGACCCTGAAGTAACAAACCACCTCCCTCTTGATATAGTGCAACAGCTTCTTCCCAAACCTTATTTCTTTCTAATCTTCTCTAGTTAGGTTTTTGAAAACATGACTACTAAGTATCAGTCTACTGTTGATCAGTCAGATATATGGACATTCACATTCTCATCTCTAATTTGTACAGTTTGTAAACTAAATTTCCGAATGCTTAAGGTTTATTACCAATACATTTCAAGCAAAATATTGTATTATACATATCATCTTTGTGCAGCTCCAGTGGAATTCAGGGAATGAAGAAATGCAAAAATGCGTGCAAAGCAGAGCTCTGCAGCATACCATAATTTTGGCCAAAATTAGCTCTAACTCCATTTTGTTGGGAAATACATTGTTAAAAACTCAAAGCCTTCCATGTAACAAATAAAGCTTCTCATGCCATTTTCACTGTGCTAGTTTCTATTTGCCCCTTATCCCCAAACAGCTTTAAATACCCTTAGTTGTTTACAAAAATTGAGTAAGTTTGATGATAGGTGCTGACTTTTATTTTTCTCTGGAGTGTGCCACCCTCATTATTTCCCAAAGCACTACCCCCACTCCACCACTTCCCCTAAGGCCTTGCCTCTGCTCCACCT